TGGGGGAAAGCAAGTCACAAAATCCATTGTGATCTCCTCGAATACCTGCTCGGGAATTGGGAGAGGCAATAAAAGGCCCGCAGGATGATGATGATGGTCTTTCATTTGCTGGCAAATTTGACAAGAGGCTATGAACACCTTGACGCCATGACACATATTTTTCCAATAAAAATTAGAAGATAAACGATGAAAGGTACGAGCAATGCCTGAATGACCCCCAACATGTGAGGAGTGGAACTCATGGAGCAGGTGGAGGCGAAGTGATGAATCAACAGGTAGTACCAAGCGTCCTTTAAAGAACAAGAGCCCTCCTCGATACAAATAACCGGGGTATTCTGCAGGATCATCGCGAAGTCCCTGCTGTATAGACAGTAATTCAGGATTCGCTGTGTTTTCCACGCGCAAAGTGTCAAATAACTGAAAGGATTGACTTGAAAGAGCCATTAGCGAAATATCTGGTACACGAGATAATGCATTTGCAGCAAGATTGTGTTTTCCCGGATGGTACACAATCTCAAAATCATAACCCACAAGTTTGCACAACCACTTTTGTTGCTCTGGGGTTTGTATTACTTGATTGGTGAGATCTTAAGAACCTGCTGGTTGGTGATGATGGTAAACCGCCTACCCAATAGATATTGATGCCATTTGCTAACAGCTTGAGTAATCGCCAACATTCGCGCACATAAGTAGAAGCTTGTTGCATCCTAGGACATAACTTTTGGCTGAAATAAGCAACTGGATGTCCTTTTTGAGAGAGAACAGCCCCAATGCCCTTCCCAGATGCATCCGTTTCAACTTGAAACAATTGACTGAAGTCAGGCAACGCTAATACTGGTGTAGAACTGAGACAACTCTGAAGATTCTCGAAGGCAGCCTGAGCATTAGGGGTCCAAGAGTAAGAATCAGTACACAGTAAGTCAGTCAATGGGCTCGCAAGCATAGCATAATTGCGAATGAAGCGTCTATAGTAGCTCGCTAGCCCCAAGAAGCTGCGAACTTTCTTAATATTGCGAGGAGCAGGCCACTACTGGATAGTGGTAATGTTTGAGGGATCTACTGCTAACCCGTGTTGGGATAACACATGACCTAAATAATCCACAATCTCCTATCCAAAAGCACATTTGGAGAGCTTGGCAACCAACTGATGCTTTCTTAAGGTTGACAGAACCAACTTGAGTTGATCCAAGTGAAGCTCATATGTAGGGCTATATATCAAAATGTCGTCAAAAAAAACCAAGACAAATCGCCGTAAAAAGGGACGAAACACAGAATGCATCGTCGCTTGGAAAGTGGATGGGGCATTAGAAAGCCTAAATGGCATTACTAAAAATTCATAGTGCCCTTTATGGGTGCGAAATGCTGTCTTCTCAATATCCTCGGGTCGAATTCGAATTTGATGATAACCGGACAACAAATCGAGTTTCAAAAAATATTTTGCACTATATAGTTCGTGAAATAATTCATCAATTGTGGGGATAGGAAATCGATCCCGTATGGTGATAGCATTCAATGCCCGATAATCAACACAAAAACGCCAAGAGCTATCCTTTTTACGAACCAGTAGCACCGGGGAAGAGAAGGGGCTAGTGCTAGGGTGAATAATACCTTCAGAAAGCATTTCATTCACTAATTGTTCCATCACCTGCTTCTGAAAATAAGGATATCGGTAGGGATTTACATTAACAGGCCTTGTGGCTGGAGCCAAATGAATAACATGGTCTTGAAGACGGGTAGGTGGAAGTCCCTGCGGTTTAGTAAAAACGTCCCCGAAGGAGTCCAATAAAGCAGATATTGCAGGGGGAGTAGTCTCAGGAGATTTTGAAGGTGTAGCCCCAACTAATTGCAAATGATAGTAGGTGACAATAGCATCAGTAGCACATAAGCGTCGTAAACATTGAAGCTGGACCTGTTGGATATCAATAGAGGACTCACCTCTCCAATTGAATTTTTGCCTATTTAACTCAAATTCAAATATCCGCTGACATAATCAGTAACAATACGACCCAAAGTAGCTAGCCACGAAACCCCTAAGGCAATATCTGAACCATGTATCGGCAGGACAAAGAAGTCCATAGTGAGAAGACACCCTTGAATCATTAATGGAACTTGTCGGACAATTCCATTACATGGTAGACGTTGCCCACTGCCGACCATAACTGAGAACGGAGGAATGGTCTCTATGGTCAGGTGAAGGAAATTAGCCACATGAGTTTGAATAAAGTTGTGTGTGCTGCCGTTATCGAGCATGACATTCACCGATGAGCCCTGAATATAACCAGTAAAACGGAGAGCAGAAATTGTGTCACCCCCGGCCATAGCGTGGTAAGAAAGACTGGACGAATGCATGACCTCAAGGTTTTGAAGCTCCTCAGCCAACATTTCATCAGTTATGGAAGAATCAGGGAGAGGTTCTGGCATCTCTGTTTCGTATTCAAGCAACAACAACTGCGGTGGAGCTTTATATTTATGACCAACAGAGTACTTTTCCTCACAACGGAAGCATAATCATTTTTCACGGCGTTGCAGGATCTCAGCCGGGGAGAGGCGTTTAATTGGAAGGCGATTGCAGATAACATTTTGTGGATGAAAATTAGGGGTTGGCAAGAGAGGAGGGGAATTTGTGAAGGCTGGTTTAAGAGGCCCACCCCGCTCCAACAAGAGGCGTTGTTCATTAGAATGGGCTAATTCAAAAGCCTTATCCAATGTTTTGGGTTTATGGACCAGAACTGCAGTTTGAATATCTGCTCGGAGGCTAGAGGTGAACACCGCAACCAACCATGACTCAGGGACATCATTAGTCTCATCAGCAATAGACTCAAATCGAGCCTGACAATCGGCAACGGTGGAAGTCTGCTGGAGTTTGGACAAACGTCCCTCCGCAGGAAGCAAGGTACGTTTAAGAAATCTACTTGTCACTTTCAAAGCAAAATTAGTCCAATCACTCAATTGCTTGTTCCGGAATAACCAACGATACCATTCACGGGCCTCGCCATCCAAATAGAATGAAGCGAAGGATAGTTTATGATCCTCAGAAATATTATAAAAATCGAAATACCTTTCTGCCTGAAAGACCCAGCTCTTGGGATTATCACCATGGAAACGAGACATCTCAACAGAAGCCGGTTTATGCCGCATGGAGGGGACGAGCGGGGTGCCGATCGGGGGCCGCCGCATCAACTGCTTGGGAGTGTGAAGTATTAGCCACCTGAGACATCAGATCCAATAGCAATTTCTGTTGCCCAACAAAGGCCTTAATGAGATCTGCAACCGAGGCCGACAACTCAGAGATCTCTTTAGATGGAACCACCGACGAGGATGAAGAAACAACAGCAGGAACACCGAAACTCGAAAACCCAGTCATGGAGATCGAGTAATGAAAGCACCAATAGAATGTACTTAATGACACCAAGTATTAATTGTATTGCTAACTGTCAAATACAAAGGGAAATATGACTGATAATGAATTGCAGGGAAATTAAAAGCTACAAGAAGGAGATAAGAACGATAGAAGAATGGGGTGAGGGGATACAGAACTTTCACATAAAACTTTTCTACTCCAATGCTTATGCTACTGGGTATTTATATGTAGTGCCAACTCTCCTAATTTCTTGTTTCACACTTCACACGTTCCATTATTTGGATGCCAAACGAAATCCGTTAACTTTATTGGTTGCTTTCTCACTCTTGTGCTGCGTCTCACGCTTTCTGTTACTTGAGGAATATTGACCTGGCTGCTGACTCGACTAGGGGTATGTGCAACTTCAGTTGAGTTGGTGTTCATAACAATGAACCCCCTAAATCCTCTTTGTCAAGGAGTCAAGTTAGTAGAGTAATAGCTAGCTTAGACTCCCTTTTTTTGGTGTTAACTTGTAGAGTTTATCTAGCTCTATTTCTACCCCAAGATCTTGTATTGAGTTTGGTATGTCAAACTTCAAAATGTAACTCTTTCATATCAATGATCATTGGATGCCGTTAAAAAAAAAAATCAACAATGTTTTACCATCGAAAATTTAATCAAAATAAGAGGCTCATACAAATATCAACTAACATTGCAATTCAATTATAGAGTAAGGATTAAACAGACCATTAACAATGTGGACCAAGGAAGATTCTATCGTAATGAATTTGAATCTCGTTAAAGTGAGCAATATATCATTTCATCAGTCTAAAAAAAAATATTTTTCTTAAAATTTTCTAAATGTAATTGTAAGTATTTTCATAGGCAATTCTTAAAAGTTTAACATTAAATTACTCATTCTGATCCTCATATTAAACATGAAAAACTAAATTAGAGCGTAAAAGAAATCAAATTCCTTAGATACATGAACATTATTTTAAATAATCATCTTGAAAAGAAAACAAATTGCACAACTATCACGTACGATAACGATTTGGTGAATACATTCATATATTTATGAGGTTAAGTAGCAAGTTAGCCTTATTATTCTTTTTATTTTTCTATATTTGTAACCGTGTACTAATATTTTTGAAATATAGTAATTTGCTTGATTTTTTCTCCGATCTCTTATAATGAATATTATATTATAATTCTTAAAAAAAAACTCAAAACTTTTACCAAAAGTTCAATAACAAGCGATAAAAAATAAAATTTGAGATAAAGTGATGTGTAGATTACTATATGTTCTCACCTTACGAGGAATTTCAATAATTTTTTTAGTTATATATGGCGTGTTGTAAAAGTGAGAAAGTGTGGGTTTTGATTTGATTTAAGAGTGGGTCAAAAGTCGACAAATATTTAAACACACATGAATTTATATTTGAGTTAAAAGAAGAATGACGTTGATATCTACCTATTAAAATTACAAAAAAATTGTAGTGTAGATTTATATAATATTCAAATCTTAAAAAGTATTTCGTTTATGATGCATAAAAAATTATATTATAATCAACATAAGAATATTTATTGATCGCGTAAAGTACGGATAAATTAACTAGGATCATTTCTCAGACTAGCTAGTACATAAAACACAAGCATATACTCACAAGGAGCATATTTATTTAGTCTACTAGTAAATATAATCAAGTTAATTAAATTCAGACTCCACAATAGGCCTTCAAAGAAAAATCACATTTCATGTCTTCTTTAGTGTAGCCGAAAGCAAGGAATTCATGAAAATCAAAGGGCTTAAAGAGTAAAGGATGATCTTCATCTACCAACTCTTTTGGTGCCTTTATTATGTATCCATCTTTAGGTTTTGAAAACAAACCAATTGAATACCTTGCTTCGTTTCCTCTCATCATCACTCTATGAAATGTTGCATGCATCCGACCATTTGTCCATGCCTACATACAACAATAATCCTTCATATTCAAAAAAGCTAATTATGTTTGAACTTTATACTTGCAAATACAAAAGAATATATTCACAAACTAAATCATCTAAAATAATAGCTATAGATATAATCGGCCAAAAAAAGGGATAGTAACCTAAAACATAAGACACATTAACTATCTTAATTGGTAAAAGTAAGTTGATATTATAATTTATTTATTTTTATATTCAGTGGCGGGAACACAAAGACTAAAGGATGATCAGTTGAACATCTTTTATTTGGAAAAATTATAAGTTTCACTACACTATATATCAGATGTTCAATTCAACCATTTTTTTTTTTACAATTAAGAAAATAAAAGTAGAGTTACATGAATTGTTAATGTTGGAAGAGCTTACGTGTAGAGAGTCTCCAATCATGACAGTGAAAGTGTCAGGTGTAGGATCAACATTAATCCACTGTCCATCTTTGGTCAAAATTTCAAGACCTTTCACCTGATTTTGGTATAGTATAGTAACAATGTTCTTATCTGTGTGAGCATGTAGTCCTATTTTAGTCTCATCGCTTTGAGGTTCTTTATACTTCATCAATCGAAGACTATAGTTGGTCGAATTCATATGCTCATTCATGTACTTTTCAACACCTAAGCTCTCCACAATCATTCTTCTTATTGTCTGGTCTAACTTTGATAGTTGCTCTAAATATGACTGGATAGTTTTACTGCCAACACATATAAAAATGAAAAAAATTACAATAATATTATGCATGTTATAAAAAAAAATAATGGAGAAAGATTAATATTTACCAAAAAGAAGGATTTCCTTGAGGCCATAAAAGTTGAGTGTATTTTTCGGCTTTATGAGGAATGTTAGAATCAATAATGCCCATGCTTTCATATAGTGGAATTGAAGAATGGTATTGTCCCACATAGCCAGAGAAGGGTTTGGTTGAAATGTTTTTAAGTTTGGTTTGTATAGGGAGATCAAAAAACTCTTGTGAGACTTCAAAAATAGATTTTTGAAGGTTTATTGGAATTTTATCAAAGAAAGCTTCAAAACAACCATATTCTACTAGTGCTTTGTAGACTTGGCTTTTCACTTGATTCCATTCAAGTGTGTCTGGCTTTAAATCTTCATGAGAAAAGTTTATTTTTGGAAGCTTCATATTTTTGGACCCCATTTTTTCTAGGAAGTATAGATTTTTGTTATAAATTTATTATGCTTAATTCTATGCATGCAATTGAATCTATTTATAAAGACTTTGAAACAAGTGAAGGTAAGTACTTTTCCCATGTGATAACAAAAATAACAAATCTTTAATGCAAATTGCTTAGTAATTCAACGATAAGTAGGCAGCATTGTTGCTAAACAAATTAAGCTTTCTTAGGTACGTAGGCAAAATCGAAAATTCAATATTTTTGAAATTTTGGTTTGAATTTTGTGGATTGTGGAAGAAAATATTTAATGGTAAAGAAAATGAATTCTCAAAAATTAAAAGAAAGGATTTGGGTTGTTTTTACTGGAGTTTTTATTGGGGTTTATATGATTTATAGAGTTATTATCCCTCCCAATCTATTAAGGTCAGTTTTTTATGTTGGTTTTTCTTTGTTAGCTTTATTTGTATGCTTTTTAAAATTTTTCATTATCTGTTAATACTAAACGATTTCCATCTTAATGATGTTTTTATTGATTATCATAATTATAAATTGGAATGACTCTTTATGATTCACAATAGATAAAGAAAATTTCAATACTTCCCATACAAATTGAAAATAATAGTGAGTGGGTGTTTTTATATTATTAAAGATTTATCAGTTAAGCAAAGTGATATTTTTTGGGTTATGCTTATGGAGTTTTGAGTTTTTTTTTTCTTTTTAAATTATAGCGAAAGCAAGTGATATATAACATGAAGAGATATAGGTGAAATTAAAATTAAAATTTTATGAATTTAGTAATTAAAGTTTTTAGTACTAACTTTTGATATTTTTTCAGGTTGTGCTTTTGAAGATTCATTTTTTTTTTTTGTGTGTGTGGGGTTAAAGCAAATGCTATATATATCATGATATTTAGATATTAAGGTGAAATCATTATTTAAATTTTACATATTTAATGTTTAGTGATTTAGCACTAATTTATCATATTTTCAAGTTATGAGTTCACTTTCATTGTTTATTATAATTTTATTGAATTTTACATATTTTCAAATTATGAGTTCACTTTCATTATTTATTATAATTTTAATGAATTTTTACATACAAATTTATATATACCATGAATATACTAAACTAGAAGAAGACAATAATGAATTCGTTCCTGGATGGTGCTAAACAAAAACGAGTATGTGGTCATCATGAGTTGTCGTCTAGTGTTAGAGGAGGTATGATAAATCAGAGTCATGCGCCAAAAGGGCAACAAAATTGATTTTAGAATCAAAAGGGCAACATTACAACGCCAAATTAATGGCGTCCAAATCAGATTAAAATTAACAAGACGGTCACTTCCATGCGCCTTACAAGGCGCAGCCATCTTGCGTCTTACAAGGCGCTGACAGCTTGCGCCTTGTAAGGCGCATGAGAGTGCGCGACTTCCCCTTAATTTTTCTTTAAAAAAATAAATTATTTCATTCGATTGAACATTTTTATGGTATTTTTCTTGTAAATTTTTTTAAATTCTCTTACTATGTTGTATTGAGGGATGTTATATATTAAATTTGGGATGTTATATTAACATTATAAAATTATACTACCCAACTCCACTTATTTAATTTAATTTTATTTTATTTAATCAATTCATATCATTTACTTTTTATTTACCCAAGCTTCACTTCATTTTATTTTATTGAATTCCTTCATACTGTTTATTTTTTTTACTACCCAGCTCCACTAATTTTATTTTCTTTAATCACTTCATATTATTTCCTTTTTATTTACCTCAGCTCCACTGGATATATACATACAATTACTTTAACTTCGTAATTTTTAGTTTTACCATACCTAAATGCACAAACTTTTACCCAGCTCCACTGATTATTGTATTTTTGTTGTTTCTCTAAACACATTTTTGGAATTTATGTATCTTTAAATTAGAAACATAATTGACAACGAGATATTTATAAATCTTCAATAACACAAGAATTCTACCATAAATAAAAGATTCAACTACTACATGAAATATTTTTTTTAAAAATTTAATCAGAATGAAAAAAAAGTTTTTTAAAAATTAAATGGAAGGCGCACATTCCCATGCGTCTTACAAGGCACAGGTGGTCAGAGTCTTGTATGACACATGGCGGTTGCGCCTTGCTGACATTGCCCTGATTTCGGCCACGTTACTTTGGGCGTTAAAAAGTTGCCTTTTGGTTCTAAAATCAATTTTTTTGCCCTTTTGAAAGTTTTGACAATTTTTTTTTACCCTTTTGGCTCCAGAGTCTGATAAATAAAAACACAAAGAAGGGTCTCGTTATCATTATTATATCTCCACAAAATTCAACATTATTATTGTATCCTCAAAAAAATCAACATATCATTGTTGTATCTTCAGAAAATTCAACATATATAATCTTATAGCTAACTTCAAATTCTTCATTCTTTTTGTTTTTGTTTTTGCTGATCTATGAGTAATTTGCAGATTATTTTAGCTTTAAGAAGTGTTTTTAAATTTTAATTAACTGACGATGAAATATATAAATTGTCATTTTTTTATTAATTTGTTGCCATCAATTAGTTTTGATTTATTCTTGAATAATTTTTTTTTCATTTCTCCTCTTACATCTTATTGCAAGAATAAAGTCTCAAATATTACTGTTAAGCTTTCATAGGAGGCTAACAAATATGTGTACGTTAGTTTACTTACAAATAGAAAAAAATTATGCGTACTTTCTGTTAAACTGTAAATTTTTAACGTTTATATTTCTATTGTAAATATGGTAACTTCCTTAGGAAAACTATTTTTTAAAGTTATATAAGAACAAATTTGAATTATGTAAGAACTTGAAATAGGTAAAACCTCTAAGCATTTGTAACTAATAAATATTTATACAACTTTCTCAAAATTATAAAATGTACTACCACAGAAATTTAATGAACCTATTGAAAACCATAATTACTATATCATGATTATGTGTAGGTTACTTTTCTTTTTAAGATATGATCTTTTTAATTAAACAACAAAAAATGTCACTACACCAAAACACAAATAATGATGTTTAAAATTTAAGGGAATTCTCTTTTATTTTTTTGGATGAACTTTATTTTCTAACAACTAAGTTTTAGGTGATGAAAGGTTAAACAAAATTAAATTATTTGGATTTGAAGACTACTAAATTATTTTAAATTTTTGGAAATAGTAAAAGATTAGTTTATAAATCTAATAAGATCTTTCTTAACTACACGAAGCGCGATCAAGTCTACTAGCTCTATTATAAAATATGAATCAAACAGACTATTTGTATGAGAACAAACTCATAAAAGAGAATTTTTTTATGAGTCTAATCTTTTGATAAATATATGTCTTTTCATTTTGAGAAAGAAATACTTATTCGAGGAAATTAAATACAAAAAATACACATTAGGAGTGTTAAAATATATTGAAACTAAAACTTGTAATGTTGATTTACTTTATATATTTACTATACGTATGTAATAGAAACTTTACATGAAATAGTAATAAGGCTGATATCGGTCAAAACTCGACAAATATTTAAACACACATGAATTTAAATTTGGTTTAAAGGAGTAATATAATGATGTTGACATCTACCTATTAAAATTATAAAGAAATTTGTATTGTAGATTTATTTAATATTCATATCCATAAAAGTATTTTGAGAATAATACATCAAAAAATATATTATAACCAACATTACAATATTTAGCAATAACGCAAAAGGCGGATAAATTAAATGGTATTGTTACATAGTGTCACTCAAACTAGTACATAAAACAGAAGCATATACTCACAAGTCACAAGGAGCATACATATTTATTTTTACACTAGTAAACATAATGAAAGTAAATTGAATTCAGACACCACAATAGGTCTTCAAAGCAGATTCACATTGCAAGTCTTTTTCGGTGTAGCTAAAATTAAGGAACTCAAAATGATTATGTGGCTTAAAGAGTAAAGGATGGTCTTCATCTATCAGCTCTTTTGGTGTCTTTATCGTATATCAATTTGAACTAAGTTTTGAGGAAGTAAGTCAGAGAATAAGAAGAGTCCTATACATGAGTTCCATATAGTTATGTAGACCATCGAGTCGAGTTGTTTCATGCCCATAATTCCGCATGAACACTATAAGTCGAAAAATCTTGAGATGAGTAGTATCATTGAAGTTCTTGAGTTCCAAGTATTGAGTTCTATCTATGGTTATTAAAAACCTTGCATTGAGTCGTTCATTACCATAATTCGGCATGAACCATATCTTAGGAAGTCTTTTACAAATGTTTAAACTTTGTTTTAAGACTTAAAGCTTTGAGTTCAGTAAAAAAAGTAAAGAGTAAAGTTTGAAATCCTTTTCTTCAAAAGTATATGGGGACTAAGTATTCCCAAAGAGTTTATAAATGTTTCCACATTTAAATAAGAATGGAAACTGAGATTTTCAAAGAGCTTTCGGGCTAGTTTTCAGAAAAGAGTAATCGCATTCTAAATGAAGCAAGAAGGGAAACTGAGATTTCCAAGATAGCCTTTGAGCTAAGTTTTGAGCACTAATCTCAAATCACAAAAGAAGTATGTTTTTTAAAACATAAGAGCTAGTATATTTTTGGGAGTAGTATTGAGCACCGATATGGGGGAGAGTTCAGACAACTCACAACCCCCATAAACTATACCCGGCCATTGTATTTATAAATACACAATAGACTAGTGGATCCACTTAGTAGTTCAAGTCCTATTCCTTTGGCCGGGTATAGGATGCGCTGGCAGCGTGAGGAAGATCGTTGTATCATCACAATAACTCTTATGTGATGGTTGTCGGTTAGAGAAACTCCCACATAAGTTATTGTATTTTATATACATCAGTTTATTTTGTATTTTTACATACATCTCAGAGTTCATATTGTATTGTTGCATACATACAGAGTTATCATTGTATTTATAAATACACAGAGTTGAAAAACCATGTTTTAAACAACGTTTCCTTATATTGCACATGTCTTTAAACTGCTTTATATTGAAATGAGTCCAGTTATGTTGAGTATTTCTAGTTGAGTACCTTAAGTTGAGTATCTTGAGTTGATTTGTGCTTCATTGAGTCGAGTATCATATCTTTGAAGTTGAGTATCTAATCCTTGAGTTGAGTATCTTATTCTTAAGTTGAGTTGAGTTGAGTGAGTTTGAAAAGAGGTAAGTATGTTTCCTTTTTATCAAGTTCAAGCTTATGTTATGTTTTGGAATTCCCCTTACATGCTCGTACATTCCACGTACTGAGCCATTTGGCCTTCATGCATCTTCTCATGATGTAGACACAGGTATTCAGGATCATCAACAGGAGATTCGTTGATACATCCGGGAGTTCGAGTTAGCTATGGTGAGCCTCCTTTCTTCCGGAGAATTTCATTTACCTTTCAGTTATATCAGTTGTTAGGATGTCGTGGGTCTTGTTTCGACTTCCATCTTTATCAGTTAGAGGCTTCATAGATAGTCAGTATAGTTGAGAAGTTTGTATTATTCATTTACTTTATTAAATATTTTAAAGACTTAAGTTGCCTATTTTATGGCGAATTGAATAATTTAGTTTATTCGGAGTTTTCTTTTGAGTTAAAGCTTTCTATTTAAGTTTATTGAATTTTATTTCAGTTTTAAGCTTTTGCATGCTTAAGTTAGTCTTCCGCTTGCAGTCAACCATGATGAGGGTTCGCTTGGGACCAGCAATGGTTCTTGAGTGCCGACCACGTCCAGGGTGTAGACTCGGGTCGTGACATGATGAGGGTTCGCTTGGGACCAACAATGATTCTTGAGTGCCGACCACGTCCAGGGTGTAGACTCGGGTCGTGACATTTTCTTAGTCGCACTAATATTTATTTCAGCAATATTTTATGTTAAAAAATTCGTGTATATTAGCGGCGACTTCAGAAAAGTCTCCACTAATACGTTATTTTATATAGCGACTAAACCGGTTGCCCCTAAAACTAGCGCCTTTTGAAGCAACTCTATTAGTTCCCCACAAAAATCTCTACTTTTGTAGCAACTATGACAGTCGCCACAAAAGATCGCCACAATAATTCATATTTCTCGTAGTGATCACCACTTTACCATAGAACATGATTGTATGAAAAAATTGATCATGACTTATATCAAATATTTGAATTTTGATGTGCAAAGCAAAATAGACCTCTACGCTTAAAAGGAAGTAGAGGACTAATATAGGAAAAAAGGACTATCCAAAATTATTACTTCTATCATTTCAATTGACGTAACATCATTTAATTAGGTATAGACTTAGGTATTAAGAAAAGAAAATGGAAAGTTTTGAAATTAACGATTCAAAATAATTTTAGATATTTATGTAGATGTAAATCTTCAATATCATATAAATGACAGAGAAAACACTACTGATCATATTCAAATAAACATGTGCTTTTTGAATGGGTTAGAGAAGATCTTTAGGCAAAAATGGATAAGGGAAAAAAATCAAACAATAATCACCACAACATGAAATATTATGATACTTTACTTCCTCAATTTTTAAGATAAAATATATTATTTTGATAACTAATAATTTTATTTCAGTAATCATAAAGAACAATATATTACAAATTCGTTGCTCAAATATTGTTGTAAATTCCAATGATAAATCAGTTTGACTCAACGATCAAGAAATTTGACATACTCTTTAATACATATAGATGAGCCAAGAAAACAATCTTTTACAATCGAAATTTAATCAAAAGATTAGACTCATACAAATGTCAAGCTAACATTGCAATTCAATTATAAACTAAGAATTAAATAGATTATTCGTATGAAAACAACAAACAACTCAGAAATATTTTCATAGGCAATTCTTAAAAGTTAACACTAAATTATTCATTTTGCTTCTCACAGTAAACATTAAAAACTAAATTAGAGCTTACAAAAATCAAATTCCTTAGATACATTAAAATCAAATAAGTTCTATTTTGGGATCATTATACAAACAAGCGACATAAGGGTCAATTACTCGGCTGGAAGCCTGGAATATATATATATTATTATTATTATTATTTTAAATCAAATAAGTTCTATTTTGGGAAAAAACTACTTATTCGAGGAAAATACAAAAACACATGATAGGAGTGTAAAAATATATCGAAACTAAAGCTTGTAATGTTGATGTAATTTATATATTTACTATAAGTAATAAAGTTGATTTCGATATTTCGCTATCATGCAAAGCGTGGACAAATTAATTAGTATTATTTCACCATAGCAGTATTGTAGTACATAAATACAAGTATATACTCACAAGGAGTATACATATTTATTCTATTAGTAAGTTAATCAATTAAATTAAATTCAGACACCACAATAGGTCTTCAAAGCAGATTCACATTTCATGCCTTCTTCAGTATAGCTGAAAGTAATGAATTCAAGATGAGTAAAGGGCTTATAAAGTAAAGGGTGTTCTTCATCTACTAGCTCTTTTGGTGCCTTTATCATGTATCCAGCTTTAGGTATTGTAAACAAACCAATTGAGTACCTTGCTTCGTTTCCTTTCACCATCACTCTATGAAATGGTGCATGGATTCGACCATTTGTCAATGCCTACATACAAAAACAATCCTTCATATATTAAAAAAAACCTAAAAATTTGAAAGATAGAAAGCTAAGAACATTTAAACTTCTATACACTGACAATATAAAAAAAATCACAAGTCAAGTCATCTAAAATAATAGTTATAGATAATCATTCATAATAAATGATATCAGTAACTAGCTAGGGTGTTCACGGTTTGGATAAAAGCAGATCCAAACAGAAAAATCAAATCAAATCGATAAAATAAAACCGATTTTATTTGGGTTTGGTTTGGTTTGGTTTTAGATTTTTGAAAACCGATAGTATTTGGTTTGGTTATGGTTTTATTCGAAAAAACTGAAGAAATAACCGAATTGATGAATTATATACATATATTTTATTAATATACATACTTAATATATTGTTTTTATAAACAATTTAAAGATCTTACATATATTTTCATTAAAATTTCTTTAAAAGTTACTTACTGAAAGCAAAAATGCCCAAGATGAAAGTATTTATCTTATTGATTTCATGCATATGAGTGTCTATGACAATTCTTTGTGGGACTGAAAATGTTATTGTCTCTTCCTTCTAGGCCAATAGAGTGAATTTTAAAGTTTTATTGATAGTAAATTTAGTGATCGAAAGTTCAGTAATTTAAGTCATTCTAACTATTTTTCGTTTTGAATGGATTGTTGTCACTTTTTTCACATTTTGAATGAATTGTTTCTTCTATTTTTGTGTATGGTTAATAACCGAACCAAACCAAACTGAAACCAATAACCACCAAACCGATAATTGTATATTATATTTGGTTTGGTTTGATTTTGACCAATAACTAATCCAAACCGACCCGTGAACACCCCTATCAGTAACCTAAAGAATAAGACATGTTAGTTGTCATAAGTAATTAAAAAGTAAGTGCATATCATAATTTATTTATTTTATATTTAATGTCGAAGCAAATTATAAGGTGTATATAGAGAATTATACTGCATATATATTGGTAAAAAATTATTATATATTAAATCTTGAATATCCTCGATCAAATTTCTAGTTTTACAACAATTTTTATTTTAATGAGTTGGAAGAGCTTACATGTAGTGAGTCTCCAATTAAGACAATAAATGTGTCTGGTGTAGGATCAACATTGATCCACTGTCCATGTTTGGTCAAAACTTGAAGACCATTCACTTGATTTTGGTATAATATGGTAATATTGCTCTTGTCTCTGTGAGAACTTAGTCCCATCTCATTCTCGCTGCTTTGAGGTGTTTTATACTTCATCAATCGAAGAAGGTAATTAGTCGAATTCATATGCTCATCCATGTAATTTTCCACCCCTAAACTCTCCAAAATCATTCTCCTTATCGTTTGGTCTAACTCTGATAGTTGCTCTGAGTATGACTGAACAGTTTTACTGCCAATACACATAAAAATTAAAAAGACTTTTCAACTTTGTGGTTTAAATTTAAGTTATGTCAAATGTACAAAAATGCCCTTTAATATTGTGGCATGAAACATGCTACATGAAAAATTGAAATTAAAATGTTACTAAAAAAGGAAATGGTCATTCGTTTTTTAAACAGACTAAATATGAAAGTAGCTAGGTCATTCTTTTTCAAACGGGGGAGTAAGAATAAATGGAGAAGATTAATGTTTTACCAAAAAGAAGTATTTCCTTGAGGCCATAGAATTTGAGTGAATTTTTCAGCTTTATGTGGGATGTTAGCATCATCAATGCCCATGCTTTCATATAGTGGAATTGAAGGGTGGCAGAATCCAACATAGCCATTGAAGGGTTTGGTTCTAATGCTTTTAAGTTTGGTTTGTGAAGGGAGATCAAAAAGCTCTTGTGAGGATTCAAAAATGGATTTTCTAAGATGTATTGGAAATTTATCAAAGGAAGCTTCAAAACAACCATATTCTACTAGTGCTTTGTGGACTTGGCTTTTCACTTGGTTCCATACAAGTGTGTGTGGCTTTAAGTCTTCATGAGAAAAGTCTATTTTTGGAAGTTTGATGTTTTTAGAATCCATATTTATTTCTTGGATAAGAGATTTTTGTTGTATGATTGTTATGCTTAATTCCATGCATCTACCTAAACCTATTTAAAGAAATTGGAATAAGACAATGCTTAAATGTGGTGTATAAAGGTATCCAAACTTATTTAAATTTTAATTTGATAAATTGTAATCAAAATTTTTCATATTCAATTCGAACGGCTTAAACGTCCAACCCTATTCTTAGGTGGGCCTGTAAGGATATCAAAAGATTGAATAAGCTAAAGAAATATGTTTATTTAATAATATTCTTAAAATTAGATTTTTCTAATTGATTCTTTACTCTGATTTCAAATTATGTATCATCTCTTTTTTATCTTATGATATATCTATACTGGCAACACATTATTCAATTGTTGAAGAAGCCAATTGTTCACTTTTAAAGAATGAAATTTAAAAAGATAAAATTATTTGTGAAAGTAAACAAGTGAATGAATGTATTTATCAGCTCTCTAAGATATAAGTAATATAGTAAGTATGTTGAATAAAGTGGCATATATGTGTACTGACGTTAATGTACTTTTTACCAATTAATTATGTTTTAGCTTTCCTCAGAATTATTTCTAGTATTAAAAAAATTCAATTATCTCACAAAATCTCTTCCATTTATGGATATTTTTTTTTAATTTTTAATGTACATCGTTATTAACAATGTACTACTTTTAGAAACATTTATAAATGAACCATTCTATTAAAAACTTGATTCTGACTTGTACCAAATATTTGGTGTGCAAACACAAACAAACATACCTCTACGCTTTAAAGGAAGTAGAGGACTAGTATAGCAAAAAGGACCATTCAAAATAATTTCTCTCTCATCTTTATTTTTGTGATACCATTTAAATATATAGAGAGTTTTTATTTTTTATTTTTAAAATAAGCTTTTGAAAAGCATGGACATAAATTATAAATATTCAAAATTGGGATAATTCGTGCAAAAACTGATTTGTCACCGCAAATGAAAATTATTCTTTTGAGTTGTATATTTTCGTAAGAAGTCCTATGAAAAAATTAAGGTTGTTCATGGTTATAAAATCAAATCGAATAGCAATTCGAATCAAATCGATTAAAAAAATTGATATTTGATTTGATTTGGTTAGGTTTGATTTTAAATTTTGAAAAATCTATCCTATTTGGTTTGATTTTGATTTTACCAAAAATTAACCGCAAAAATAACCAAACCGAACCGAACCGAGAAGTTATATATACATAAATTTTATAATTATTTCTAAATAAATATAAGTATTTTGATAAATTTTAATTAACTTAATTCTTTAATTTTACTATTTTTGAGGCCCAATACTTAAATTTTAGCCAACTATTAAACCCTTAAGTTTAAATCAATCAATATAGCCTATTAGCTAGGCTAATGAATTGTGCAAACTAATGAGATGCATCTGACTGTATATTGTTGTTGTCATTTGAAGAATTATGACATTGGGTCCTTAAGGAGGTATATTAATTGATGTTTAGATCGAGTTTTTATGTATTGTGGTTGGAATAAGAAATTATTAAAGCAATTTGACATGAATACTTTATTTTTATGTTCATTTTCGTAAGAAAAACAAATTCAACTTATAGGCTCAAAACTAAGAATTTGAAATAATCAAATAGATTATATTCGAAATCGAACTTAAGAATACTGAACGAATCAAAATTCATTTGAATTGCATTTGGATTTTAGTTTCATAAATCTAAAAAATCTCAATCGAATTTTTTCATGTTTAATCTGAATGACATGAACGCGTAATTCTATTTCAGGTGGGCTTGTATGGATATAAAAAGATTGAGTAGGCTAAAGTAGATCTTCTTAAATGCTTCATCACTCTGATTCTATAGCTAATTAATCTCTAAAAATTAAATAATATATTTATAATGACAGCACATTATTCAATTGTTGAAAATCCTACTGCTCTTTTACAGAATTAAATTAAAAAGATAGAATTTTTTGTTCTTTATCTCTATTAGTCTTTTTAAACGTAAAAAAAAAAAAAGTTCTTTCAATATTATCCAAAAATATTGTGAATTTCAATTGATTAAAATGTCTAGATGAATGATGAAATGTGTAATTCATCGGCTATATAAAATACAAGTTGTTCATTAATTCAACGATAAGTAGCCCTACCTAATTTATAACAACGTTGCTAAACAAATTAGGCTTCTAAGGTATAGCTACTAGGCATAGCTTGGACAAAATTGAAATACAATATTTTTTTATTTTTCGGTTTGAATTTTAAACTACAAATTGAATTTTGGATTTTTAGATATCTTAAAATCTAGAGAAGTCTTATACCTTATATCTAATTTAACGATTATGCATAAGCCCATATACCTAATACTAAGTTCAATATAGCCAATGAGGCTAATGAATAGTGCAAACTAATGAGATGCATCTGACTGTATATTGTTTTTGTCACTCGAAGAATTATGACATTGGGTCCTTCACAAATAATTAGCTCCAAAACTAGTGAGATTTATGAAAGTTCCCTTAAGGGTGTGTTTGGTATGAAGGAAACATTTTCCGAAAAATGCTTTCCAATTTTTTCTCATGTTTGGTTGGGTAAAATGTTTTCCAAATCAACTTATTTTCCTCAAATTTAAGGAAAATGACTTCCTTCAAAAATTAAAAAATTAAGGAAAACATTTTTTCCAACTTCAAATTACAATTTTTATGTTCAAAAAATAAATTTAAAGCTTATTTTCAAAAATATTTTTCAACTTCAATTTTTTATTTTTTAACCCCCCCTCCCACCAGCCCCCCACCCACCCCTCCAAAAAAATTGAAGTTTGTTTTTAAAAAATATTTCCAATTTCAAATTTTTATTTTCACCCCCCCCCCCCCCCCAGAAAAAATTTTAAGTTTGTTTTTTTAAAAATATTTTCAATTTCAAATTTTTGTTTTTCATCCCACACCACTCCTAGCCTGACCCCCCCAAATAAAAAATTTAAGTTTGTTTTTTAAAAAATATTTTCAATTTTTATTTTCCACCCCCCCTCCCCCAATCAGCCCCCACCCTTTCAATTTTTTATTTTTTTACCCCATCTCATTTCCTACCCCCCCCCCCCCCCAGCCACCCCTTCCCCCCGGTCAGCTCACTCCACCCTCCCTCCAAAAAAATTAAGTTTATTTTTTATAAAATATATTCAATTTCAATTCAAAAATCATTTCTACTCTCTAGTAAAATTAAAATTTTTCTCAAAAATATTTTTCATTCATAAATCAAACACTAAAAAATCTTTTTCGAAAAATATGTTCTACTCACCAATCAAACATGAGAAAATAAATAAAAAATCTACTTGTTTTCCAGGAAAACATTTCCTTCATACCAAACACACCCTAAATCACTATACAACGTCATGCTAATGAATAGTGCAAAATAATGAGATGCATTTGATAGTCAGATTCTGACGGTATATTCAAGCCTCTCTTATTCTCCAACTTTATTAATTATCCAAATTATTTTCTTTATACTCTTCATTTTTATTTTGCGGCTTGTTTATCAAGAATTGATATTGTAAAATTTTTATTTGATTAAAGTGCAAACTTCATAAATATGTGTTTTTGAATTAAAAAAAAGGTGACTATATTGTTTTCTAACAATTACTTTTATTATTATAATTTATATATATAGTCTATGTAGTTCCATTTTATTTTTTATCAAAGTTAAAATATTAATTTATAATTTAGATATCTTAACGTTTATCAAAGACTGTGTTTTTTTTTCTAACACTTGTTAATATAATATTTAATTACCATTTTATTTGAATTATAATATTTGTTGTGTTTACATATTAATAAAATTTATATATATATATATATATATATATATATATATATATATATATATATATATATTTTCTACTATATAGAAAAGCGAAGCCGACCAAGACGACCAAGGGCATATTAGAAAATCTGACTTCAAGGAAGGGCAAAATAGTAATTAAGTTATCAAGATAGTTAAACCGACCTGAGTAATGAAATTTCTAGAAAGCAGGGACTCTTTATATTCCATGGCGCCTTTCCATGGTAGAGAGTTCCAGAGAAAATCATCGACTCAAAAAGACTCCTCTCATATGATGTTGGATTACAGGTCAGTTATCTCAATCTTTGCTCTAAGCATTTTCTGTTCTCAATCTCAAGGCTTTCAAAGACTGTTCTTTCATATCTCTTCCTTTTCACTGTTGGGTGTTCCAATTTGAGGGTTTTTTTTTTTGCTTAGATTCCTTTTCAGTTCTATTTTACAACTGAACTTGATAGATGATATTGTTATTGTACTGTCTCCCCACTCCCCAATTTCATGGTTGATGATCAATTACACTCCCATCACTTTTCCACTCCAAGCGGCTTTGTCTTGCTTCTCTTCATCATTTCGATTAATTTACAAATGCAGGTATGTTTCTCTTTAGTTTTTACCTAAATTTTCTGTTTCTTTTCCCTTTGTTGTTCTTTTTTTGTTTTTTAAGTTCTCTTCAAATTTAATTATTATCACATATAGGAATATTTCTACTAAAATGATGGTTCATAGATAGGTTGTTAGAAATCAGATTGATTGGAAAAATTAAATATATGAAAGTTAGAAGTCTTAATTGGGGTATGTAGAATTTTGGAGAGATAAACTAAAGATGTCTTTGATCTGCACATTGTAGCATGTTCTATGATGATAAAAAAAAATTTCTTCATTAATTATTCAGCTTATGGTGAAGTAGAACATCCTCCTACAGTTCCATCAGTCATTTCAAACAGGAATCATCCAAGGTCTGAAAGATATGATTCTCGGCACCATTCTTCATGCTCTAGAGCAATACTTATTGCTAGATTTGGTGATAGTGTTGTTCCCATTAACATTGTAAATGGTGAGAGCGATTCTCAACCTTTTATGAGTCGGTTCCAGTCAGAGATAACTACTTCTCTGATTGCAGCTCCGACTGTCAAATTGCCTTGTACTGTGAAACTCGGAGTATGGCATTATGATGTTAATGATCCATGTGCGCCG